TGGCCACACTGGGGAATTAAAAGGACTATGAGTGGGCTTTATGATGCCCACCTTCTCCAAATTCTCTAGAGATTCTACAATTTCATTGCGTCCCCCAGGCAATTTATACTCCTTAGTATTTGTCAACCACTGAAGTACAGGCAGAGCTACAGATGGGTGCTTAGCATGTCCCCTCAGAACTGCATTCACCACATGTGTCCTCAGTCTGAACTCACCTGCAATGGTCTGTAACCACAGGCCCTGCAGGATATCCACCCCCAAAATATATTTAGAGATAGGAGAAATGTACACAGTATACTCCTTTGGGGGTAAATGCCCTATCCCCAATGGGATTTGGGCTTTCTTCACTCTAATTTCCTTACCCCCATAGCCATCTATCACAGCAGGGGTCCCAGAGAAATGCTCAGGGTTGCCATAAATAGAGAACATTCAGCTCCTGTGTCCACCACTACCAGGACACATTGTACATTCATGGGGGACAAATGAGTTGCTAATTCTACATGTAGCCTTCAGTCCCCACCATGTCCCTCAAGGTGGGGGCCTTGACCCTCCCCCTCGGTCAAACTGCAGTGCCAGTCTTCTCTACCATCTCCCGGGCTGAAGGCACAGCTCCTGGCTCCCCCTCCCACATGGCCTCCTGCAATGCAGATCTTCCTACTCCATCCTCCCTCACTACTAATGTATCTTCCAGGAGTGCAATGTGTCTTCTCAATAACTGTCTCTCTTTCTTAAAGGCATCCCATAAGTTATTGCCAGCTCCTCCAAGCAATGCCAAAGTGTGTCTCTTCAGTAACCCTTTCCACTATCTCAAGAAACAGACATCCCACAATCCCGGCTGCTGCACAGCCACTTATGGCCTCTAGGCAGCCTTTTATCTCATGGAGGGCTAATTCCACAGCTTCTGGTGTCTCCACCCTTCTAGGAGGTGCCTTGCCCTAGAACAATTTTCCCACTAGGGCCTCCCCAAGTGGAAACCCCACAGATGGGGGAGCTCCCAAGTGAAGCTGCACCATCCACTGCTGCTGGAAGAAAGGGTGAGTCATCACCCCCCACTGCAGAAGCCACTGGGACATCCCCACCACCCACAGGGGAGTTTTATCCAGGTTATCTCCCCACCATCTCTAGGGGAAGCCCACCCAAGTGTCACATCCATGAAGTCAGATTTGGGGTTTAGAGGTCTTGCTGACTACCACCAGGTGTAACTGGGGGAAAACATGTTGCCAGCCTGGGGCAAAGAATCTTTGAAGCTGAAATCAGTCAAAGGGAGAAATAAAGTGAGAGAAACCCATTTATTGCTTATAGGCAGTCACCCATTCTGCACATCCGTGGCTCTCGTGACCCAGCTGCAAAAAAAGGGGTTCCACCAAACCACTCCAGTCCAGATATGCCCTTGCTCCCCCCATGCTTGTAATCACCTATTGATATGGAGATGGACTAAGTTCAGGCGAGAGATTCTAGAAATACTGCCATTTTACCCACAGCCTCCATTGCCAATCACCATGTACGTATTGTGGTTCTGCTACCCCAAACTGATTCTTGATCCTCAGAATACCCACATTGCACTATAATGACCTATACGTGCTTTATACTTCAAGTATTTTTTTGCTCAGCCTCTCCCCATCAATAGAAGTAAGGCATTAATGCACTAATTATATTATTCTGATATGTATACTATATCTGACTTCAAAAATTCTCTAAAAAGGTATTTAGATGGTAAGATCTTAAATAAAATGTAGAAAACATGTTAGGAAAAATATTTTTGGATTATGATTATTTTGGCTCCTTACATTTATCAAAGAATATAACTCATTTTTTATACATACACACACAAAAAAGCTTGGGAGATATTGAGAATATTTTCAAGAATCTTGAGAAATCATCATGCTATGACAGTACAGAGCTAGTAAGATTAGACCATTGATTCTGAAGAAAATCAAAAATATACTATAATGGGTGTACTTCATGACCTAGAAACAAAGGTCCCATATTCTATAGGTTGCACCTTTTTTCTTCCTCACAACAGAGAAGTATCTATTTTTTTATTTTTTTACACCTTTCTGGGGACTGACTATATGACTGTCATCTTTCCCTAGAGGAACCTTTGTTTTACAGCATAAAGGACAATTCACAATTAGTTTTGAGTTCAAGAGATAGCACCACATGTTTCACAACACTACTTACTTTTCCTACTTCCCCTCCCAAAGGCATCTAACCACAGAAGGTAAAGGAAACTACTCCCAAAGTCTACATCATCTTCCAGGCAGCTCCCCAGACGAGACTCTTGGCAGTCATTACACAGTTAATTGTACAAAAGGGGGTTTGTTTTTCAGCAAAGGTCACGGGAATCCTCACTTTTGAGACTGAGGCTGAGAAGAAAGGACACAGCTGAACCAGGTCCTCCCAGGCATAGTTTGCAGGTATGTAAAAATCACATCATGTACCTGCCCCTTTTTCTCTAGAGAAATAACTTTAATTTTTTGTTGTTCTTGGTATTCTTGATGAAAGATCTGAAGGACAAAATCCAAAAAATCTTCAATTCCTTGGCAAAGTTGTGGTGTTTGTCATTAATTGAGGTAAGTACAGATGAATCTGTCTTCTAAAACATTAATTTTCTAGCTTTTTCACAACTTCTACATAGAGTATGCTCTTTTCTAAAAACAAGAAGAGTTCAGTTATGACTAATAATCTTTAGATGATAATGTTAAACAGGATTTAAAATATTGTTTCCCTGGTTCTATTTTAGAAGTTGTATCTGCGCATCCTTCCAGGGTTCCAAAGAGACAGAACTGAAGACAAAAGCCACAGTAAGCAATTACCACCTACTTCCAGGTTATGGAATTAGGAAAAGCAAACTACTTCTGGGATGCTTCTTAAATGCATTTCAAAAGTTAAAGAATGTTAGGTCTTCATGTTTGGTTTTTATTTATATCTACTTATAATTGTTTAACTCATGACTAGCCACAGATAGAGAAATCACAGTAATGCTTCTATCTGGTAAAACAGATTCCATGACATCACTGCAAGCTGAAAGAAGCATACCCAGGCACAAAACCTGGCCATATCAAAGTAACAGCCCAGAGTAAATAATAATTTTTCTGAAGGGTGTCTTGGGCATAAATGTACTCAACAATAATACCAGAACGCTCCTTGGGAAAAGTGAAGTATTTCCTTACCTCATGTGAGGAAACCAAATTAAACTATTTTAGGTCCTTCTTTTCCCTAAATTGCTATTCATTTTCTTCATTAGACTGATCAGAAACCAGATCATTAAATGTTTTGGAAAATCACCAACTCAACCTAGATCAGAGTACAACCCCTATTTCTTCTTAAATATTAAGTTAATCTGTCTCACTGGCTGCTTCCTCCAGTTGTATTTCCCTTTGTCCAAGGGTTTCATGGAGTATTTCCTTCTATAATATTTTTAGAGAAATTTGAATTAAAGTAGCAATTGCCTGAATGGGACCACCAGAGCACAGAAAAGTAGAGTTGCTCAACGGAAACATTCTGGGTCCAGAGTGTTGTATTACTGAGTGATTTAATCTGAAGAATTATCAGGGCTGCATCTCCTTACCCTAAGACCTTGACTGTGTATTTCCACACAGCTTATGCATCTGGTGTGTGGTCTCAGCTGAGAACTAGAGTACTCAGACTGGGCAGAACGTCAAGCAGTCCTGGGAAAGCACTTTGGGCTGCCCTTTGTCGTGACTCCCAAGTGTCTTCTCAGCACTTCAGTGTGTCCTCCCCATGCTCTCATGAGTCACACTAGGTCCTTACCTTTTTCTCTATGGACAACTGAGAAAAGGGAATGGACTTCAATAGAATCCACAGGGACCAGTGCGTATACATTTCTGAGGTAGTCTGAGTCAGCTTCAGGATCCCATATAGGGTGACCAACCACCCCTGTTTCCCTGGACCTGATGGGTTTCCTGAATGGCAAGATGTTCAGTTGAAATTGGGGCAGCCCCTGACAAATAGATCTATTTGGTTACCCTAATCGCACACCATACTGGTCTACCACCTCCTCTTTTTGGCCTACCCTTGCTCTCATCTGCCCCCACAACCTCCCTCCTGGCTTCAAGGTCCAAAGGAATGGTTCTTTCCTTGCATAAGTAAGGAACTCCTTAAAATAAGTAAGGCTTTCAGGTAGAAAGTTAACTAAATTAATGTTTATTCATTTAACAAACAATTATGAAGTACATATTGCCTAAAACGGATAATGCATTAGGTACTAAAAAAGAATAAAAGATGATTGACACTTGGCCTCTGTTCTCAGTTTATAGTCCAGTAAGTAAATTAAGACATGTAAAAAAATACCCATGATACAAAGTATAATGTATACTTTAATGTAGAAAAATACTGTAGCTTTAAGAATGTTACTTTTTATTCCTTTTAGCTTAAAAAACAATGATTCACTTGTTTAAAGTTGATTCAGCAAGCATGTTGGCATGACTGTGAAGTGGACTTTAATGTGCTAGGCATTGGTAATGGAGAAACGAAAAATACAACTTCTGCCTTCATAAAGCTCACAGACTGGCAAAGAGATAGAAAAGTGACCAATTACAATAGGGCATAGTATAAGCTTACACACACATGCATTTGATGCTATGGCAAACAAAGAATTAGGACATGATAAGGAGTCTAGCAAAACTTCATGAAAGAGGTAATTCATGAACAGTGTAAACTACAAGTACAGGTTACCCAGGCCAAAAAAAGTAAATATGTAAGTAAAAAGGAGAAGGAGAAAGGAAGAGGCACAGAAGGATGGGCAAATGGATAAAGAGAAAAGGAAAGAAAAAAGAAGCAACAGACATCATAGGTAGGAAGAGCAGCATATCATTTAGTGGAAGTACAACTATCCTTCCTTACTGGAGCACAGGGGCGCAAGGAAAGAGATTAAGTTATATGAGTAAATAAATATCAGATCAAGCAGGACCTTGAGTGCTATGCTCAATTGTTAGGATTTAGTCTCATGGTAATAATGCTTCATTGCAGCACAGCTTACAGACTAAATGAACATCTCTGGATCAGAACCCCATTCTGAGTCTGTGAGTGAATTCATCCTTCTGGGTCTCTCCTGCAGCAGGGAGATTCAGGTCCTCCTGTTTATGTTGTTCTCCATCATCTACCTCCTGACTCTCTTGGGAAATGGAGCCATCATCTGTGCTGTGTGTTGGAACCAGCATCTCTGCACCCCCATGTACATTTTGCTGGGGAATTTTACATTCCTGGAGATCTGGTATGTCAACTCCACTGTTCCAAACACACTGGTCAACTTCCTCTCAGAGACTAAGTCCATCTCTTTCACAGGCTGCTTCCTCCAATTATATTTTTTCTTTTCCATGGGCTCCACTGAGTGCTTCTTTCTCTCAGCAATGGCCTTTGATCGCTACTTTGCCATCTGTCATCCTCTGCATTATGCCACAATTATGAAGGGACAATGTTGCTTCAACCTAGTGATTTCCTGTTGGGTGTGTGGTTTCCTGTGGTATCTGGTGCCTCTTATTCTCATCTCCCAACTGCCTTTCTGTGGCTCTAATGAAATTGACCACTTTGTATGTGACTCAGGCCCACTGCTGACCCTTTCGTGTGTTCCTGCCCCTATGACTAAGCTTGCCAGCTACACCTTAAGCTCCTTTGTCATCCTCCTTAGCTTTCTTTTCATCCTCATCTCCTATGTCTTGGTTCTACTTGCTGTGATTCAGTTGCCCTCAGCGTGCAGTCAGCACAAGGCCTTTTCAACCTGCGGGTCTCATCTGTCTGTGTTGCTGCTGTTCTACAGGACCATTATGGTGATGCATGTGAGCCCTGGATCCAGCCATTCTACCTTGATGCCAAAGATCATGACTCTGTTCTGTGCAATGGTGACTCCACTCTTCAACACTTTGATTTACAGTCTCAGGAATAAGGAAATGAAAAATGCTCTCTGGAAAGTTCTGGAAAAGTTTAAAATGTCTTTAAAAAGTCTTTGGCAGTATATCCTTGAGGAATGTGGAATAATCTAGTTTAATGGGCAAAATAACCACCTTTTATTTTCACTGATTTGTATAGTCATTCACTCAATAAATTAATCACTGGGTGCCTCATCCATGTTAGACACTGTGCTTGGCCCTGGATTATGAAGATAAATATGCAGATAAGTCAGACACAATCTCTTCCCTCAAACAACAATCAAGGGAGATAGCAAGTAAGAAAATAATTACCATAAAATACAATAAATGATTGAATCAATGTATGTACTAGTTGTCACAGAAACACAGAAAGAAACACTTAATTTTGCCTGGGATTGTGTGGGGTAGGGACTACTGTTAAGGAAACTTCAATCAACACAATACTGGACATGTGTATTTTGTGGTGAGGAGGGAGAAAACCTTGTATTTCTGTTCAACTTCTACCAAGATCTCTTTTTCAATCTTATTGTGTTATCTTTGAAAGCATATGGGACTTTAAATCAGAAGATCTGGATAGGAACTCAATTCTTCCATTAATCAATTATACAAATTTGGTATGTTATTTAATTTCAACTATAATTTGAATGGTATTTCTTACTCCAGAGAACAACTAGCATGAGGTTTCTATGAGATCGTGAGTATAAATGCTGTGCCCTAGCACACAGAAAACATGCAATAAATTTTAATTGAATGTGAATGCTGATGAATTATGTTTTCATGTTTTATATCAGATTTAAAAGAAATCTCAGACCCCCATGAAAGTCACCATCTATTACATTTGGCAAAGCCCCTCTACAACAGATCTTCTCAGTTTTGAGAGAGATAGTAGGATATGTTTCCTCCATTTATACCCCAAATACCCTGTGGTTATTTTTGTTTGGTTTGGTTTGAGTGGTATTGTGTGTGAACAATATTCTAAAAAAATTAGTTCTCTAACTGGGTTTTGTATACCCCTGGGATACATGAAGACTTTCCAAGACAGCATGGATAGTTCCAGATCCTCCACTTCCTTTATGTACACTCTACTAAAGCTGCTGTGCCTAAGAACACACTTGCTGTTGAATCTTCAGGACTTATTCACACATCCTCTCTCACTATTTGTTTTCTCCCACTTCAGATATGAAGCTTACATTTCACCTATTCTGACCTCAATATTCTATATTTCTCAAATATGTAAACTTCTATTTGGGGCACTAAATGAGTAATTTGAAATACTGATCTTGCCTGTGAATTTAGCTGTAAGATACTAAATCCTTTAGTGGTCTACAGTTATTTGTCTCCAACACAATTGTTTTGTCCCAAAAGAAGAACTTGAGGCAAGGACTTGGATACAGTTAGCTTATCAGGAAGTGGTTTCAGGAAGCTGAAATGAGGAATAAGAAGTTACTATAACCAGAAAGGATTTGATTCCATTAAAGCCTCTGAGAATTGTCCATCTGAATGGAATTGTGCCTAAGGCACTTATCTACTAACTGGGGTTGCACATGGGGACATTAGTTCCTTGTGTTTCCAAAATGCATTGGCTTATATGCCAAGCTAGCAGCTATAACTTCAGAAAAGGCCCCGGAAAGAAAACAGAAAGACACATGGAAAAGGCTTGAGGTGAAACAGCTGCGTTAGACTGATTCTGAGCTCCCAAGCGATTGCCTACCACCTCTGAAGCTAAAATTAGAGGTGGGTGAGGAGTCTTTATACACACTTCCATCACCTCATATTTAAAGTACCAATAACAATAGAACTATCTTCATAGTGCTGTTGTGAGGATAAAATGAATTATCTCATCAGAGACCCTAGCAAAGAGTGAACACTAAAATACCTCCATCATTATGATATTTCATGCTTTTATCAACAAGAATCCATTCTCAGTATAGTTTTTAATTTGGAAGTAAATTTTCTGCCCCACCAAAATGTCCAGGACTACAATGGGAAGTTTTAGCTGAAAACATGGGTATTACAACAAAGAGTTAACTAGTCAAAATACTACACTCAAATTAGAGAGAAAGGATACAAAGTATATCAATAATATAGATATTCCTAAATCATGAAGCAGAAATGTTAGTGTATTGAAGAAAAATCAGGCTTTCTGAAAAATATGACTGACAAATAGTTGTGAGCAAATGCACATGCAAAATGAAACACCTGTACCAAAAAAAAAAACACAGTGTCCTTGTGTAAAAACATTGGACATGCAGGAAATTATTAGCATAGTCAAGACACTGATAAATAAATATATTTCAGAACAAAATATATTACTATGTGTTATTATAACCACTTATTTCATGAGAAGGAACTAGAACTTAGTATCAGATTTCCACTTCATATAGTTTATTGTATAACACCTGTAGTTTATTGCACACATTCTACCTAATATCATATTTAATCTGTATCTTCTTCAAATTCCTAAGTAACCACTCTACTTCAAGTATTACTACAGATCATTGATTTTAAACTAGAGTATATGTCAAAATCATACCTTCTTTACAAATTATACATGCCTGATCCCTGTCCCTGGAGACTCTGATTCAGATAAATGATGGTTCTTGTGCATGAAAACTTTGTAACAAAATCTCTACAGATGAGTCCTATATTCACACAGCCCAGTTGAGAAATGCAATTCTTGGCAGATATACAACTATGATTTACTGGAATTTTCAGATCAAGATCCTGATACACAGAGTGAAAAAGCCAGGTAATGAGCCTCCTTATAGGATGCTGCCGAGCCAGGCTGATTTGTATCTAGATCTACACTTTTGAATTTAATATTTAGGCCTTGTGAAAATTGAATAATATGTTATACACACACCCACTCCAATTCCAGTAACTTAAAAGTCAGAGAATAAGGCAGGATATATATGTAAAATGTAATGCATCATAACAGAAACAGCTCTGACCAAGCCACCTTTTTGTCAGTCTATGTACTCTTGGAAACAAATAAGGGGGCAATTGTCAGCTCTGGCCTATCTAAGTCATATTTCTGTCTGGAATGATTCTTTTAGCATGAAAATTCATAGTGTTGATAAAAAGGATAATTTAGATTCACTAAATATCCACCATAAATGAACTATGTGCTTTTTACCAAACAGTTATTCTAAGCATATTATAAATACATATTTTTAAAAACTATGGGTTCTGGAGTTAAGTGTTGATTCCTTCTCATCAAGAGATTGTGGAAATCACAGCTGGGTATGGCCAAGAATAAAACTCTTCCCTAGTCCTATTCAAATCCTCTTCTTCCATTATTCTCCTCAGGTGTTCTCTGCTGACCCTCTGCTCTACCCGCACTGTCCACACTCCCACCAGCTAAAGTCCCGGTGGTTCTTCTTCAGTACAAAGTTAATGCAATAACTGAAGACAAAGACTAATTACTTCATTTACTACTACTACAATTTAAAATTCTCTACAGAATCCTAAGCTATATTTCTATAACTCATTTGCTGCTGTTCTTAAATTACTATTAAAATCTATGCAAAATATGACACTCAAAGAGTACATTCTCCTTAAAGGCTCTGAGAAATTATAGACTGCAGTTACCATAATCTGAGAGTGGTCTCAGTCTCTTCCCCCTCCTCTCCTCTCCTTTTTCCATTCTCCCTTTCTCTCCTCTCCACATATTCTGCTCTGCTTCTCAAGGATCACACACCTTTCTGGTTTTTGATAGGAAGAGAATTTGCCTTCATGTCAGTTAGTTCCTAATAATAGTGTTCTCACTGTACAGGCACTATTCATTCTGTTATAATTTTTTTGCTTCACAATTGAACTCTATTGTGGCTATGACAAGCCAGAGTTCTAGCTAATAATACCGTGCTCTTTATAGAAATGCTCCTACATATCAAAATGGAAACTCACTGTTTGTCATTTATGAATCAGTTATTTTCACTGCTAAGTCTGAAAAGGATCATTTTTGAGTAGGGGAATATGAATTCCTTTGCCCTGGAATCCTTACAACTTTCATGCTATAGGCTGAATGGTTATGTTCCCCCAAATTCTTATTTTGAAACCTAATCTTCAAAGGGATGGGATGGTATAGCAGGTGGGGCCTTTGGGAGGTCATTAGATCATGAAAGTGGAGCCATAATGAATGACATTAGTACCCTTTTAAAGGAGGTTCCAGAAAGCTCCCTTCTACCATGTGAGATTAACAGTGGTAAAACAGCCGTCTGTGAACAGGAAGCAAGTCCTCACTAGACTCTGAACCTACTGGGGCCTTGATCTTGTACTTCCCAGCTCCCAGAACTGTGAGAAATAAATTCCAGTTGTTTACGTGCCATTCAGGCTATTGTATTTTTTTATTATAGCAGCCCAAACAGACTAGACACTTTCAGAAGTTATCTACTTCTTGGCCTTTCCAAACCTAAACCTCCTCACAAGCAGTCTGGTTCTCAGACAAGGACGAAACCACTTCACCTTGGCAACTTTGTGCTGTCATAAAATACATTGGGAATTACAAAACTCTGTCTTGCCAATGGGTTTCAGCCCCGGGCAAGGTCGCTATGGATTCAATGTGACCGAAGAATTTGACAGCAAAACGTTCTTGGGGTGAAAGGTTTATTTCCAGGTGGCAGGTCAGTCACTAAAATCCTGTTCACTCAGAGTGAGTCTGTAGGCAGCAAGGCAGTCTCTGCCTCTGGGCCCCTCTGCCTGCACAGCCCTCCTGCACAGCCGTTCTCCGGGTCTCTCTGCACAGTTGTCCCACACAGCCATCCTCTAGGTCTCTGTCCTCTGTGCTGCCACCACTCCAGACTCTGCTCTGCTCTCCTGCAGCCTTGCAGCCCTGCCACCATGTCATGCCCAGAGCACTGGGCAGAGCTCTTTATATAGAGTCAACAACCATGTATTGCCCACAGGTGTGCAGTGAGCTAGTCAACCACGGCCAAGTGACAATCCGGGCCACAGGAACTCTCATTTTATCCACACTCTACAGTTTTGGATTTTTCCCTGCTAGGTACTATGACCACAGTAATGAGAGCATTAGCCAAATGATGAGTAATCATTGCTGAACCATCTTTAATATTATAAGATTTACATTGCATTGAGTCACAGGTTCTTAACAGTAG